GCTCGCTACCCATCTTTTTGCATGTGTTCGTGCATACTTTGTGCACATTATGTGCTAGACAGTGGTCAGTGAAGTTCGCTTCACTATGTTTCACTCCACAACGAGGATGATGACGGTAAGGTCCCTTAGCAAACATTTCAGCCTGTTCGTTTGTGGTTTTTTACGAAGAAGATGCAGAGATTATTATCTTTTAACTCCAAAAGCCTGTGATACACATGGCATACATCACAAAGGCATCATTAATTTTTTTTCGTATAATCCATAATCCGGAGCGGCCGACTTGCGGTCCCAGTGACAACCCAACTGAGGATTTCCGAGGAATTTTTACTTCTTATATATATATATATATATTTGATAATAAGTAGTATGTGAATGATTGGACAAATTTCCCTGGAAGCACACGACCGGTTTCGCGGTTCTTGCCGCTCGTCAGGCATGCGTATCCGGTAATCTTTTGTCATTTCATTCATGTATATATATATATGCCTAAGCGTGTAGCAACCTTATTGAACCTAGAGCCAACTTGAACGCACCGGAATAATATGAGGATTTATCTTTGTAAATGGTTGGTTTCCGGTTCGCAGAGCGTCTAAATTGAAGTTTTGTAGAGTAGAGTAGACCATAGTCAAGTCAATGGTACACCTTATCCATGCATAGTGGACAGATTTTTTCTTTGAAAAATGTTGTCACTTTTGCTTTGGTATGCATACTATATGACGTTTTGTAAATAGACAATAATTAGGAGGACCGAAAACGCGCAGTAAATGTAGGAAATTACTGCACAACAATTTGCATGAAACTTTGCATCATTTCGTTTGATATTTGTTCCCTGGAAACCAATACACGAGGTACAACGGAATTGTGAAATGCTGTAGCGCGAATGTATAAAGGTTTGACTTTATTACGGGTGACAGAAGTGGAAATGGAGCGAGATTGGGTTGAGTGTAAAAGATATGATGAATCAGATAAGATTGAATGAGTTGATGCATTACCCTCATATTTCATCACGCCCTAATTTGTAAGTCAGTCAAATTTTTATTATGGGCGATTTAACAAAGCAAAATCTTATCGTGCCCTATAGGATTTTTACAGAATATTTTGAATAATTTTACAATGAGAGAATAAGAAGGAGAACATGCATGGTCACCCATGGATGTCGAAGTTTTAAGTTTTTCAATGCTTTATCAAGTTGCGATTTAAATAGTTCAACTGTAGGATGGAAAAGAATTCCATACGCCTCACACTCGGACTGCAAACGAGTGATGCCGACAATCATGGTGACTGTTCTGGGTCTTCAACTTTATTGGATGTCCTCTGAGGTCATCATTTTAAGACAACGTCAGGGTGGTTGGGCTGATGCAGTATGTGATATGTTAAGATTAGGTCCCCCCCCCGAAGTCGGTTGGATT